GGACTCCAGAAGCTGCGTAGGTGGACTGTAGGAGAAGCTGCTCTGAGGGCACTGAAACTCTGCCTGAGGAAAAAATCAGAACCCAGATGTTGCCTGAACTGGAGTGTTTTGCCATGTTTGTTTTCAGTGACAAGATTCCTATGAGTTGTTCCTGTGCTTGATAGTTAACTCAAAATGTAACTCATTTGTGTCACTGCAATTTCATAGATAAAGTATGAGAAATCTGCTTTTCTCTCTGCAGCATCCCCACCCTTTGGCATTGTGTGCACTGCTGTTCCTCTTCCCTCCCAGGTCCAGTAATCCAGGCGTTTATATGCCCCATTAAACACATCACACTCTCTGCAGTGCCAATGCAATCAGGTCCAGAATCTTCCTTCTGTGCACCCTAAGGACAGAGGGACAGGGCCTCTAGCTCATGGCCCAGAGGAAGCAAAGTGGGCTGGCAAAGTGTTTCAGGAGAGTGAGTGACTTCCTCAAGAGAACTGAGCTGTAGCCAGCAAGCTGAGCCTGGCTGGGCCCCTGCTGCACAAAGGCCTGGAAGACTTCCAGGTACCAGGACTCCAGATGAGTCTTCAAATAAAACTAATGAATACTTGGAGTAAGCTGCTTCTTCAATAGCACAGGATTCTTATCTCCAAAGTTATGGATCAGAGTTGGAGACTTGTTCTTTAACTTGTATTCCCATTTTTTCTCAAATTCAGAACAGAGATATAGAAAGTTGAAAACAAGCTGGTGTCCATCTTATTCTGAGGAACAGACAGTGCAGTAGTTCATCTGTGCTAGAGTCCGACTGACTGGGTGTCAGTTCTCCTGATCCTGGCCCCGATTTCTTCTCTGCATCTTGCTAACTTGTCAGACCTTACAGCTGCCTGGGGCCAAGGAAAGTAGGTGATATAACTACCACTGAGTTAGGCTTTGCCTAATTGACCTGTGTCTGCTGCTCTGTGACAGGAAGGTTGACCAGTGTGATAAGGAAAAAGCACTTCACACTAATGCTGACTACTGATTTATCTTCAATGACCACCTATTCACTATGTCATTTCTTACTCTTTCAGACCATTTTCTGTTTCAACCCACTCAATGTCTCCATAATATTGCATTTTTTTGTATTCTTTGAAACTTGTTTTTATTCCACTCTTCTTTGTTCCTTATATGTAGATGTGGAAATTTATGAAAGGTACGTGTGAGAGAAGCATGTTGCGTTTGGACCACAGCAGAAGAAAGAGGGCTCTCAAAAACTGACACAGAACTTGTGAGGGTAAGCACAAATGCACATTTTGGAATGGTGGGTGTGTTTGGGAAGTATGAACACACAGATTGCAAATGTGAAGGTTGGGCTCTGAAGTAGATGATTAGGACAGGGGAGGATTTGGTGCAGGACTGGGGCACACTATTGGTTGCTAAGGGATTCTGTGCAGAAGATCAGTCACTGGTGTCCGCAATGGGTGGTCAGGTGTGAAGGGTTGGACTGGAGTAGTATCCAAGCACTTAAACACTGGACTCTATTCACAGCTCATGTATTTATAAGCAAGTGTTATGTGACATAGCTGCCTAACCTCTCAATTTCCTCATGTGTAAAATTGGGATAAATATAGTTCTTACTTCATAGGCTCATTAAGTAGGACAAAATATGTAAAACAGTCTAGTGGCCCTGTGCATAGTAAGTGGATTATGGCTATGATTAGCTGTAATTACGGGGCACTGAGGACCAGGAAAGAACATTTGTGGTCAGCAGGAAGGGCAGGCCAACTGGACACTTTCACTCTGATCTTATGCTACATCTATTGTCACTCAGCCCCAGCATCAGAGAATTAGGCTGTGAGGACCACAGAAGGCATCTTATCCTAAAGGCTTTCACTGATGAAAAGGCTAAGGCCCACTGAGATTGACTTTACCAAACCTACTCAGCCAGTGAGCAGGAGTGCCTGAACTCAAAAGACTCTCTGAGAAAGACCCAGTCTGTCACATTTCAGTCTCTTAGGCTGAACTTCTGGCTTCACCAACCCAACTTTCAATCTACACATACTAGTGAATTTTCCCTGACTAGCTACCATGTGTGGTTCTCCATGTTGAATCCTAAGGGGTCAAGCCACACATAGTCCCTATGTTCATGAAGCTTCTAGGGGAAAGGGGAAGAAAGACTTTAATCAAATAAAGTAATTTAAAAGCAAAATTGCAACTAGAAGTTCAAGTCTGTAGAAATGACGCATCTACCTGTTATACCACTGCTATATCCTTATCACTTAGAACAACACCTTGTTTATGACAGGTACTAAGTGCATGTTGGCTTTTTGAAGGGTAGCTAACACACTGCATGGGAGCAGTGGTCAGAAGCAAGATGTGAGAGGTTACAGTGGGGGACTGACCTACCCAAGAGGTCAGGGGTGGATCCTTCAGGGCTGAATGCCAAAAGGTAGGGGGACTCTGCAATGGGTGGTCAAGTATGAAGGATTGGACTGAAGTAGGTGGACCCTGATCAGGTGAAGTGAATAGGGTGAATTAAAGAGCTTGGAGGGTGCTGTACTTAAAGGGCAAAGGAGATTTTAGAGGAGAGGAAATATGTCCTGCTGAGCAATAATTCTGTCAGGTACATGAATGGAAACAGTATCAGGATGGTTATGGGAAGGACTCACAGAACCTACTGTGTCTACAACTGCTTTCAGTTAGTCATATTGGCTTGATGAACAGTAGCCTATTGATAACTTAAAATGACATTCTTATGTCAGCAGGTCAGGAAAGCACCATTCCAGTTTCTTAAACTGAGGCTTGCAGTCTTGGATGATGTCATAGCCACACATGGAAACCAATTTAGGGATGCCCTTATTTAATTTTCTTACCATTTTTTTTCAGGCAGGTTTTAATATAAATGAGGAAAGGATCAACAAGTTTAAGTAACAATGTATGTCTGAATTGGGAAGTGAATCTATTTGTTATGAACTGAATTGTGTCCCTCCAAGTTTCTTATGTTCAACTTCTAAGCAAATTGAAATTTTGACTTACATGCCTTTAGTTTCTAATTTTCATTTTTTTTTCTTGTTGGGCAGTACTGAGTTTGAACTCAAGGCCTCAAGCATCTAGGCAGATGCTCTACCACTTGAACTATACCCCTAGTTTGTTTCACTTAGTGTTTTGTGCTTTTGCCCCCAGCTGGCCTCAGACTAGGATACTTCTACTTGTCCCTCTTATCATAGGAGAATGTCAATAAGCCTGGCTTTTTTTCTGAGATAGGATCTTGCTAACTTTTTTTCCTGGGCTGGTTTTGAACCTCAGTCCTCTTTATCTCTGCCTCTTGAGTAGCTGGGATTACAAGTGTGAACCACCACCCAGTCCTCACAAGATTTGAGATCATACCACAATTAAACTGTCCCAATATTCTATCTTCTTTATGGACTTCACATTCAAGTTGATTCAGAATTTGGTGTGATTGTATTTAGAGACAGACCTTCTAGTTGCAATTTTTCTTTTAAGTTATTTTGTTTGATTAAAGTTTTTCTTCTTCTTTAGCATATCAGCTTCATTAACATTTAAGGTTAAATGTCATTGTAAAGGTGGGGCCCTGATTCAATACAATTAGTGTTCTTATAATAAGAGACACCAGAGTGCTCTCTCTCTCCCTTTATATTTTCTTTCCTCTCTCTCTCTTTTTCACTGCCCCCACCTTCAAACTCAGAGGAAAGGCTATCTGGGAACCTAATAGCCCTCTACAAACCAGGAAGCAGAGCCTTACCAAAACAGAATTGGCTGGAGCCTGAACCTTGGACTTCCAGCCTCCATAACTGTAAGAAAACAGAGAACTGTGGTATAAGCTGCCTCATCTGTGGTGTTTTTTGGCAGCTGGAGAAGACTGACATAGTTCTAAATATAATGGATATTGCTATCTGGCATGACACACCTCTTTCCTTAGTTGATATCAGAGAGGGACAAGAACTCAAGTCATCTGGCTGTCAGTCCTAAGCCCTTCTTTTGACCATATTCCATGCTTCTAGTAACCTCATTAACCCAAGGAGTAAGTGGAGGTCAGGATTAGGACCTTATCAAGTCTATGGGATGAGCATTCATGGTCCTCAAAGTATGGAAGCTATGTCTGTGATTGTGCTAGATCCAGAGCTATACAAAGTGATTGTTGAAAATTCAAATGTTAGCACTTTTCATGATACTGAAATTGCTGTTTTAGGAAATAGGGTAGTGAGTCTTTCCCACTGAGACACTGGGATATTGAAGTATGCGCGAGTATGTGGATGGATGCATCTCTCTCTCTCTCTCTCTCTCTTTGCTTATTCTCTGGTCAAATAGTCCAGCACCTGCTGAAGGGTACAACTCTGAGTCTCATCTGGTGCCCATCTATTAGTTTTTTGTACTTCAGTTTATCCCAGATCTTTGGTCTTCCTTTAACTTATCTATAAAATAGGTTAATAATCTATTTTACACAATACTTATATGATGGCTAGAAACCAGTAAACCTGTAGTAAATAGTAGATATTACCATTATGAATAATGACCCAAAGTACTTCTATTTTAAAATAAAGTTTTCAGAACTAAGTCAGTATACCTCCTTGCCTTGGGATAAGGGGATAAAACATTCATACTAGGATGACTTCCCAGAGATACTCTAATAATCCATTTGGTCAGCAGGTTTAGTTCCTCTTGGTGTTGCTGTGTGCAAACAAGCAAGAGTTAACTATTTTGGAGGCTAAATCCCATTCCCTTGTGATCTACAATGACATTCCATAAGTGTGTGTGTATGTGTGTGTGTGTGTGCATGCGTGTGTGTGCACACGTGTGCATGTGTGTGTGTGTGTGTGTGTGTGTGTGTGTGTGTGTAAGCCATCATGTTCTACATGCTTGCTATCCAAACTGTGCAAACCAATCCCCTGGAATTCTATCCACTACGGAGAGTTCATCAGGGAGGGGAGCAGGCAAGCTTATCTTTGAAGTAAGCTTAAATACAAAAGCATAGGCATTCAGGCAGGCAGAGGACAGAAGGAACATGCTGTACCCACCTGCCACTGCTGATGAGGGGCTTATTTCTAAGACACACACAGCACAATGCACACACAATGCAGAGAGAAAACAAAAGACATAGATCACACATTTCAGATGGTTGGTGGACAAAGTTTAGTTCATGTCAAAGCTGAAAGCTTGTTCAGGTCTGAGGTTCACATGGAAAACTATGTCACTCTTCATCCTACTCATCAGATCTTCCCTCTCACCAAACCTCAGCAAATAAACACACACACATACACACACACATAAAATATCACAATAAGCTTGTCCGGCCCTGGCATGATATGTTACACAAGAATATGAACAGCAGTGGGATGATGCAATGAAGGAGAAGGGCTTCCAAAGAAGCCAGCCACGGCTCCTGACACCTCTCCATCCATGTGGCAGAAACAGACCTTCAGAGAAGGGTCTCATTCTGCAGTTTCACATAGAGTAGGCATCTGGTGGGGACTCAGACCTCTGCTCCATTCATCTCAGTGAATGAGATGACGGCATGTCAATCAACATGAGAATCTTGATGGTAGCAGCTAGCTTGGTTTAGCACTATAAATATAACTCAGGAATCACAGACTTACTACAGAAGTTATCTTATTTTTAAATAGTATCCCCACAAACCTAAAGGTTTGGCCCTACAAACCATTAGATTACACTGCAATTGAACCATCCATGGTTCTAGCTTCTCTATGGATTCCACATTCAAGTTGATTTAGAATTTGATTTACTCCTTTAGAAAGTGGCCAACATTGCCTTTCAAAAACCAGAAGAATCAGTTATCTTGTAAACATCACTATATCGCATGCCAGGGAAATGACAGGGAGAGTATTTATCATCTAGGGTGGTGAGTTGAGCATATGAGTGGACATAGGCCAAGCAGAGCATGACTTCCCCCCTTGTGAGGTCCTCAAGCTCCCCCATGGGGCTGGGCCCACTGCATCCAGGCTTCCTGCACTCACCATACAGTGTGATGCTGGCATTGGTGTTCCCAAGCTTGTTTGAGGCCACACAAGTATAGTTCCCATAGTCTTTCTCTGAGACATTGAAGAAAGTCAGAGTGGATATGTGACCTTTGTTCTCAATCCTCACTCCATCCAGGCCAGTGGCTAACCTGCAATAAGAGAAGGCACTGCCAGTCTGGGCTTACATTGAATGAAAGCAGCAGACACTGAGATAATGCAAAGATTAATTATAAATTAATTCTACAAAGAGTTTTTTTTTCCTCCCAAACCCTTTTCTCTAACTAGCCCAGACCCTCCAACTCACACCCTAAGTACCATAGTTCCCAGGAGGAAGAAAAAGGAAAGGATAGTCATGCTCAAAATACAAAATTTCCTGGGTTCTAGTCATCAGAATATCATGGATACAACTAATTACAGATTCTCAAACAAGTTCAATTTATTTTGTCCATGTCTCAGCTTCCTCTATTTTTTTTTGCTTCTGGTACCAAGGGAAACTCTGTTACAAATGGGGCTATACCACATTTTTGGTCTGCTTTATCTGTCTCCTGTCCTTTATCACACATGCCCACGTGGGGAATGACCCATCATATCTGTCTCAGAACCACCCTAATCCCTCTGAGGTACCTGGTCTCTTCCTTGAACCACTGAAAATCAGCCATGGGGACCGCAGACGCTTCACAGCTCAAGATGCCCTTCTGACCAACAGAAACGCCAGTGTTCTTGGCTTTTGAGATATAGGGAGGGTCTGTGGAACACAACACACAAACAAAAAGTCACCAAGGGTGATTCCACAAAGGACATGAAAGGCTCATCCAATTTGCTACATGTCTGTGACACTCTCCTTCCCAAGAAAGAACTTCTTGCTTGAAGATATTATATTTACTCCAGAAACTTCAGGCCTCCACACCCATTCTAAGTTAGCAGCTGCCCTCCTTCACTGAAGGCTCTGGCAGTCCCAATAGGACTCCAGAGACAAATGGCAATGCAGAGAAAGATGGGGCAAAACAATCTGGTGAGACATTTTCCTGCTGGCAGCCACTTGAGTATGGGCTTTCAGAAAATAGCTTTGCCATTGCCAGCTTGTTGCCTTAATCCCTGTCCCCTCAGTTCCCCAGGAACTCCCTGACAGCAGATCAACTCACAATTGACAGTGATTTTTACTTTCCGCACATCAGGTGCAGCAACGTCATTCAAGGCGCTGCATTCATACTCCCCGGACTGGTCGCGTTTGATGTCAGAGATTTCCAGGTATTCATCCTCACTCACAAAGCCCTGGCCTTCTGCAAAGAAAGAGAGAGACAGAAAACAATAAAGAACCTGTTAAACAGGCTTAGAATCATATTCATGTCTAGAGAGTGTAGAAGAACAGGAAAAGCCATAATAGTGGTGTTTGAATATCAACCCAAAGATATAGGGTACTGTGAAGAAAGAAATTCTCTGTTTGAGTCTTGGATCAATGTTATTTTCAGGCAAGTCAGTTTAACTGTTTTAGGACATTTGGTAGAAAGGAAAACCAATATTTTTCTTTAGTGATTATTATGAGGATTAATTTAAAAAGTATGTTGTAAATACCCCAGTACTTTAATAAACTTTAATATTTTAAAGAGAGTTGTCACAACCAATAATATAATAAAATATGTGGAATAACTAGGTTATGTTTATTTTCATTATGTAGAAATGACTTTATATATAAAATACAAATTACTGCTGGGTGCCAGTGGCTCATGCCTATAATTCTAGCTCCTCAGGAGGCAGAGATCAAGAGGATCACAGTCTGAAGGCAGCCCAGGCAGACAGTTCTGTGAGACTCTATCTCAAAAAAAATCCACCACAAAAAAGGGCTGGTGGAGTGGCTCAAGTTGTAAGCCCTGAGTTCAAACCTCAGTAGTGCAAATAAATAAACAAATAAATAAAAATTACTAACTAGTTGTAGAACAAATAGAAGGATATTTTACACTTTAAGACAGCTCAATTGAGCCTTTCCACTATAAGATAGATATAGATAGGTAGGTAGGTAGTTAGATACGTAGATACATACATAGATAGATAGATAGATAGATAGATTACAGGCATAGTGATCCACGCCTGTAATGCCAACTACTCAGTAGGCAGAAATAGGAGAATCACAGTCCAAGGCAGGTCCTAGCAAAAGTGATAGAGTGCTTGTAAAAGCCCTTAGTTCAATCCCTAGTACTGGGGAAAACAACAAGACCCTTCATGTTGTACATGATAATAAATATAATTTTTATTTGTCAATTTAAAAATAAACACTTTAAATCTATGGTGGAGTAGAGAATGACTGATGAGTCACTTCATGGAGGTACAATAGATGCTCAATAAATATTTGCCAAAATAAAATAAGCCTTAAACAATGGATCTGTGGTTACTAGAACAGCCTCACAGATTTCTTTCTTTTCCTTTTTTTTTTTTTGATTCTTCAAGTCATTTATTATTATTTTTTCCAAGCTGCTTTTTTATTAGTTTTTTAAATTCATTTATTCATATGTGCATACATTGTTGGGGCCATTTCTCCTCCACACCCCCTCCCCCGCGCCCCCACCCACCTCGTTTCCAGGCAGAACCTCTTCTGCCCTCTTCTCCAATTTTGTTGAAGAGAAAACATAAGCAATAATAAGAAAGACATAGCGTTTTTGATAGTTTGACATAAGGATAGCTTTACAGAGAGATTCCTAGCATTGCTTCCATGCACAAGTGTATTACAACCTGAATTGATTCATCTCTACCAGACCTCTTCACTACTTCCCGGTCACCTTCCCATAGTGACCTTTGCCGTTTTAAGGTTACTATATTAACTCCTCTACAGGCCTCACAGATTTCATACCTGACTTTGTGGGGCATTCTAGGGCTTCACTTTCAAGCACTTAACAAAATTTGTAATTCATGATCCAAAATACCTGAGGGCTATAAAATTTGTTTTGGATTCTACTACCATTACATGCTATTTCAGTACTCTGACCTCTATCCACCTTACCCTGTATCCCATTGCTTGTGGTTCAGTGCAAAGAGAACAGACCCTCTGTCTCCTAACACATATCATCTGAGCTCTGTTTAAACACCTGCCTCCTGTGAAAACACAGCCAAAATGAAGGCTAAGAAGAAGGCAAAGTCATTTTCCTTTCTCGTAGACCTGCTACCTGATTCCTTTTGCCCTGGTATTTGATCCAGACTATTTTTCAGGGCAATAATGACCCATTATAATTTTCACTATCATCTATAGAGACATATTCTTATCCAACGGTGCTTGCTAACCAATCTAGGATCCACCCTAGGTGTGGAGCAGGAAGGTGGAATGTCTGTGGGGAGTGTTGGTGGGTGGGAGGTGGAATTTAGTTTCTTTGGTGCCCTAACTGACCCAAGTCTAAGCTTTGGGGAACTCCAGACACTTGCTCTGCCCATATTTCTAAATCATTTGCTTCTCGGTACTTGCTGCCTTCCCCACCCTTACTCATGTCCACCTGGAGTGTAAGTTAGTCTCTGGATGCTGACTACCAAAGCCATGCCTAGAAGATGTGAGACCCCAAGAAAATACTTCTCCAAGTGCCCGCACCTATGTAGGCAATTTGAGACACCTCAAATAAGCATCCTTCTAGTAGCTCAATCCCATGAAATTCCATGGGAGAAATATTAAGTTGACCAACATTGGGGAATCTGGCTGTACCATGTGGCACAGGTGGAGGAGCCTCCTGCAGGGGAGAGACAGCATTTGTGTGGGCAGCTCCTGGTCTTGCCCTCAGTGCTTCTCCTGAATGGCACTGCAGTGAGACTGCTCCCAGGATACACTCCCATTTGCTGTTAGGGCAGTGCTGCTGGTCAAAGCCCTGCCCTCTACCCAAAAAGACATTCAATTACCCAGTCTTCTGTGTATTCTAACTCCTCAACACCTTCTCATCCCCCCAACCCTGTTTTTTTTCCTCTTAGACTTACAGAACCTCACAATTAAAAGGGATTCTGAGATTATTGAGTTTGGAAAGTTCAGCAAAGATAAAACTCAGTTCCCCTAAGGCTAACCAATGCAAGCATTTTAAAGGCTGAAAACACCAATGAAATCACACATACCAAAATGAATCGACAGTCTCATCTCGTGTTTTCTACAGTGAATGGCAGGATGGGAAGTTTGCCTTCCTCCTATGAGTCCTTTATTCTTTCAAGAAGCACTGCAGCATATTAGCCACAGTAATTACATCACACAACACTGAACCAAACAAATAAGCTGCCTGCAGTGGGCCTGCAGGACCCTCTGGCAGGGACTCAGCTTTCCTCCCTTGGGGAGAGCAAGAAAGACCCAACTCATGCTATGCTGGCCAGATGGCATAAGAGCCCCTGATCAGACATTGTTCATAAATGCCAATTGACTCAGAAGTGTTGACCTGCACACAGGGAAGAGCTGGCTTCCAACAAGGTAGAGGGCATGTACACTTGTATGAACAGGACACATCCTGGACCCTTCATGGGGAATTGTCAGACAACATAGCCATCCTCTGGAATGTGGGAATTTATTTTCACTCTCTGCAATGCTGTTTTTATGGGATGGCTATGTGACAGCAAAAAAGGAAGAAAGGAAAAGTACATTTCATGTAAAATGGGGATCATTATGATAATACTACCTCATTAAGTGAGAAAACAAATTTTGTCAAGTTTGTACAATAGAGTAAGTGCTTCTTAGATTTTAATTTGTATATAAATTCCTCAGGAGCTTTTCAAAGAATGATTTGGTTGGTCTGGAGTAGGGTCTGGGATTCTGCATTTCTAATAAGTGCCATGGTGTTGCTGTGCTGCTGGTCAACCACACTCGAGACATAAAACTATCAGGCACCATGGAGTGCTGTTCATTGGCTCCTTCTCACTCCTACACTCATGATTATATAGATTTACACTACAGTTTGGATCTTAAATGTTTCCCAAGGGCCCATGGATTAGAGTCATGGTTCCCCAGCTTGGCACTATTGGGAAGTGGTAGAAACTTAAAGAGGTAGGACCTGGTGGGAGGTCTTCAGGTTATAGGGGGTGTGTCTTTGAAATGGATAGTGGAACTCTGACTCCTTCCTCTCACTGTATTTCCTGACTACAAGATGAATTTGCTCTGCCACATGCTCTATGTGTGCTGCCTCAGGATGGGTGCCAAAGTAACAGGGACAGCAATCATGAACTGAAACCTCTAAAACTGTGAGCCAAAATAAACCATTTCCCTTCTTTTCATATGTTGATTATCTTAGAAATTTGCCATCGGAGTGTGAAATTGAATTATACAGTCCACGAAGTGGTCAGTTGGTAAAGAAAATACATGAAGTGGTCCTCATGCTGAGATTGTGGACCCTGCATTTCAAAAACAAAAGACACTGTCTTAAAACCTAGAGCTCAGAGGATACACTGAGGCTGAGAACAAAGGACCTTGAATTTCTATGATGTGACTACACATGTAGACATGTGTTTTACGTGTCTCCACAAATGTGGGCATCTTGGTTGACAAATAGGAAGAGGCCCAGCAAAGATGATTTAGATGCTCTTAACTACTTGGAATGAGGGGTAAGATTTTTAAAAGCATAACCAATCCAGGTTGCCAAATGCTAGGAGACCTAGGAAACAGCAGGGTTGAGTGCTTTCCTTGCCATCTCTGGTTTAGTTTGCAATGTAAAATTCTGATTCCATGATGCAGAGAATAGGGCAGAAGGCAACAAATATTTTAATCCTCTTTGCAAGGTGCCAGGAAGCCATAATGCTGACTGAGTAGTTATAGGGAGATAAATGAGGCAGGAAGCAACATTTGAGGGAAACATAGGAGAGGAAAAGAGGAGGAGGAGGAAGAGGAGGAAAAAGGATGTGCTGGAATGAGGGAGGAAAGAAAGACAGAGCTGGGACATGCAAGATGACTTGGGAGCCACAGGAAGATTTTAGGGACATATTGAAAAGGGTTTTAAGACTACGGTACTGTTTTTAACAAACTATATGAAAGCAGAAAGTCCATGTCTGGCAGGAGTTTTTCTTCATGGTGTGATGTCCCATAATAAGCCAATATGAGCCTTCCCCATAAAACATGGTTAGAAGCAACAGAAAGCAAATTTTGAGTCTGTGGCAGAAATATCTTTAAAGATGGGTTATTTCCTTCCAAGGAAGGAGAGCTTAAAGAAGATAAGTTTAATTCATTATACCACTGAGATTAAAATCTGCAAGGATACAAATGGGGCTATTTATCAGGGGATGTGAGTGATCGCCCTCTCAAACACAAGACACATGCCTGGGGAACAAGTGGACAAGCCTCCTG